TAGTGAAGGTGTTACACCTTTGTGGTCATTGTGTAGTTATTTTAGGCTCTGCATATGTCATAGTTTAAAAACTCAGGAGTTAGGGGGTTGGTTGTTTAGAGTTATGTGAAACCCATTTGTGTTACCTGCTGCCATAAAGGCTGAGTCCACTCCTTCTCGAATGAGTGGCCTTGCATTAAAACAACAGTTCCCAGAAAAGGTTATGTTTATAGATGAGACTGGAAGTGTGATAACTCAGAGAATAGAATATGAATGGTGCCCAACTGTATGTGGAAACTGCAGGAAGATAGGACACTCTACTGATTTGTGCAGAAAGAAGGAAGAACAGCAACCTGGAATGAGGAGAACTATGGTCTGGAGACCTAAAAATAATAAACCAGATCTGACAGAAAATGGGAAATAAATTGAGCAGAAGGACTGCCCCCAAAAACAGATAACATACATTAAAGAGATAGAGGAAGAGGAATTCCAGCTGGTTGGAAAAAAGAAAAGTGCAAAGAAGGGGATTACCTTTGAAGATGAATATATTGGAGGAATAAATAGGATTTTGCATGATGCCCCCCGTATGGGGGACACTATCCTTTCCTTTCATGATAGGGTGTTGGAATATAAGGGGTTTGAACAGCCCAAATAAGCAGGAGGAAGTAAGGAGTTTTATAAATACTAATAAGATTGGCCTAATGGCAATCCTTGAGACTAAAATAAAAGTGGTTAAATTCCATGAAGTGGAAAATAAGGTGGTTAAGAATTAGAATTCCATAACTAACCATCAAGAACACTACCTGGGAAGAATATGGGTTACTTGGAATCCAAGGGAGTTTAGAATAAATAGCCTTAAAAGAACTGACCAGCTAATCCATTGTNTATCTATGCACATAATGAAGCAGCAAAAAGGGAGAGTTTATGGGAGGACTTGAAGGCTATAAATAATAACATCCCAGGACCTTGGTGTGTGATAGGTGATTTCAATTGTGTGCTGAATATGGAGGATAGAATTGGAGGACTACCAGTAGGAAATGAAGAAATTAAAGACTTTAAAGATTGTATGGACTATTGTGGGCTTGAAGAAATGCCAAGGGAAGGCTCATACTTTGCCTGGTCCAACAGACAAGGGCAAGGAAGGAGAATTTATTCCAAAATTGACAGGGCAATGTGTAATATGGATTGGATGTTGAATATGGATACCAAGCTAATGGTGAAGGAGGAAGGAATCTCAGATCATACCCCGCTCCTTATAGTCTCTGAAATTGTTCAATGCAACAAAAGCTTCAGATTCTGTGATATGTGGACATTGGATACTGAGTTTCCCAACATAGTGAGACGAGTTTGGGAGAAAAAGATTGAAGGCAGACCAATGTACCAAATATGTCAAAAATTAAAAGAACTTAAGGTACAACTTCGAAGGCTGCATAAACACAAATTTCGGGATATACATAAAGAGAACGAGGGGATCAGAAACAAGCTGCAGGAGATCCAAGCAAGACTTAAACAGAATCCAGAGGATGCTGAACTCATAGAGGAAGAAAGAAGATACATCAAGAAACTACATCAAAGTTTAACAGCTGCAAACCTGATGATTAAACAAATGTGTAAAAGGGATTGGATTTTGGAGGGAGATCAAAATTCCAAGCTCTTTTTCTCTTGGATTAAGAAAAGAAGGATTCAAAATCAAATTGTTTCTGTAACCAACAAAAATGGAAGGGTTGTTGAGGGTAATAAAGAAGTTGCTGAAGTAATCGTAGATTTCTACAAAAACTTGTTGGGAACTCCAAAGGAAACAGAAGACATTGATACAAAAGCCATGATGAATGGAAAGAAACTGACAATTGAACAACAATTAGATTTGCTCAGAGAAGTTGAAGAAAAACATGTAAAAGAGATAATGTTTGATATTCCAAGCTGCAAAAGTCCGGGACCAGATGGCTTTAGTAGGGGCTTCTACAAAAATCAATGGAGGGTAGTGGGGAAACAGGTCACAGAAGCAGTGAAGGAGTTCTTTGTAAATGGAAAATTCCTGAAGCAAATCAATGCCACAGTTTTGTCTGTTATCCCGAAGATTGAGGCGCCTATCCACGCTAGTGACTACAGGCCTATAGCTTGTTGTAATGTCATATACAAAATTATATCTAAGATACTCTGTGACAAACTGAAGGCTGTTCTTCCTACAGTAGTGAGTCGAAATCAAGGAGCCTTTGTGAAGGGAAGAGATTTGGTGCATAATGTGATACTTTGTCATGAAATAACAAGAGGATATAAGAGAAAGGGGATATCACCAAGATGCCTACTAAAGCTAGATATACAGAAAGCCTATGATACAATCAACTGGGAGTCAATCATACAGATCTTGAGGTCTTTGAACTTTCCCAGACAATACATCAATTGGATTGAATTTTGCATAACCACCCCAGCCTTCTCGGTACAGCTAAATGGAGAGAGATATGGATACTTTAAGGGGAAAAGAGGAATTAGACAGGGGGACCCAATATCACCATTACTCTTTGTTATGGTCATGGAATACCTGAGTAGACTGCTCCAACAGATGCCTCAAGAAAGAGAATTTAAATACCACCCAAAGTGTAAAGAGGTAAAACTTATAAACCTCTGCTTTGCTGATGACCTGATCATTGTCTGTAAGGCTGAAGAGGAATCACTAAAGAGTGTTATGGCAACACTGGATACTTTCCAGAGAACTACTGGACTAAGCATAAACTATGCAAAGTCCCAAATAGTTTTTGGAGGTGTGGACAAAGAGGCACAGGAAAAAATGTTGAAGATTACAAAACTGTCAAGGGGGGAAATGCCAATAAGATATCTCGGGAGTCCTATAACAGCAAATAGAATCAGTGATAAGGAATGTGATAGACTGGTTAGCAATATTACTGCAAAAATTACTTCATGGGCCTCAAAAAGGATGTCCTATGCAGGGAGATGCAGACTTATAGGAAGTGTCCTACATGGCATAATGACTTTCTGGTGTAAACTATTTATTCTCCCCACAAAGGTGATGAGGAAAGTTCAAGGTATCTGCAAGAATTTTTTATGGGGGTCAACTGCAAACTACACTAAAACACCATTGGTGAGCTGGGACGAGGTATGTGTACCTAAAACCTATGGTGGGCTGGGATTAAGGAATATGACAATCTGGAACAGGGCCTACATTCAGAATTACTGGTGGGATGTAGCTTTAGAAAAAGACAATTCGTGGGTAAAGTGGATCCATGGAAGATATATCAAAGGGGATATATGTAGCTATAAACCAAAAGGAGATACATGCTTCTATTGGAAGAAGATCATGAAAAACAGAATTTGGTTTGAACATATGCCAGTTAAGGAGGGGTATACAACCGAGAAAGGCTACTTATGGCTGCTCAATCTGGATAGGAAACATGAGTGGTATCCCCTGGTGTGGAACAAAATGTCTATCCTGAAACACCAAATTTTGATGTGGCTTATTTGTAAGGGAAGACTAAACACAAAATCAAGGCTTGCTAGTTTCATGAATATCAACACTACATGTGAAGTGTGTGAAAAGGAGGAAGAGAGCATTGATCACCTGTTTAGCCAGTGCGTTGTAACAACTAGTTTGTTATCTAAGCTGGCTTCTTGGATAGGAGAAGACCTCCAAGGTAATAATGTGCATGATATGTTGGACAAATTGCAGAGGATAAAAGGGAAGAGAAGACAAAAGTCTGTGGCACTCTTTGCTGCTGCGTGTTATACCATTTGGAAAGCAAGAAATAGACTGTTTCATAAAAAGGTACGCACAAAAGATGAGGACTTGCTAAATGGAGTTTTGCACTATGTAATAACTTACTGGAACAAAGAGAATAAAAAATAGCTGAGAATAGAACATAGATGTGTGTAATAGAGTAGTGGTTGGATGATGTAATCATTGGCTTTGTGATGCTTTAATAATAGTGTGCTTCTGTTCAAAAAAAAAAGAACGACTCTCATCAATGTGCAAAACATTGTGAAAACTCTTAAACCTAGAAATTTTATTGGCATTTGTTAGGTATGGTTTGATAGCATTAAAATTGATCCTAAGCATACCTCTTTTAATCCACTCATGCACGGTTGACTTAGGTTTACCAATGGCAGTTGCTAATGAGCTTACATTAGTCCTTTTCGTGAGGGGAGTGTCTGTTATAGCCTTTATATCCATCACTTTCTGCCACCATTTCATGCCATTTTGCTTGTCACATCAATGGCAATGCCCTGCCCTAATTGTTTCTTTGCAATGGCTCATATGTTGCTCACTGTTTTATATTGTGCAGAATTTACCCCATTTATTATAATTCTCTTTAATTTACTTTGTTTCAAACTTTCTACTTTCATGTATATTACTACGGAGTATTATTAATAAATCATCACATCCTATCATAGCCTACAATAAGAGCATTCGCCCCCTGCATCTTCATCCCGGCGTGATGTTCTCCGCGTCATTGTTTTGACGCATGCTTCACCCCCCTAACGGTTAATATAGCCGTTGAAATCCAAAAAAAATTAATTATTTTTTTATATAAATTTCAAACTCCCCCTCCCATTCTCACACCTTCAATATTCTTCAATCTACTTTACATATTCTTCAATTCTCCAATTCTTCAATTCTCTTTTGAACATGAATCCTTCTGCCTCCAGCTTCTTCCCCGATGATCTCGAGTCTCACGAGTCCGCGATGTGATATTTCCAACAATACGAGAATCATCCGCCGATGTTCGAGATGCAACAATCTGGGCACGTCGAGCGAGATTTGGTTCCGAAGACTCAACCCGAACCATCCGGCATAAAAAAAAGTGCATACCAGAAGAGCCACAAAGCAAAAGGCACAATGACCGAGGCAGCACGGTCAATCCAAAAGTGGACGCCAGAGGAAGAGTGCTTATTGGCGTCGGCTTGGGTTGACGTCTCCGAGCATCCAATCATTGGTAAAAATCATACATTTTTTAATATATTTATGTTTTACTTATATAAAATTATATAGTTGTGTCATAAAAAAATTTTTTGTGTTATAATTTTTTAAAGGTTCAGAGCAAACGAAGGATGCGATGTGAGATCGTATCGAGGAGAAATTCTACACGACGATGAACAAGAACGGCTCCTATCGTACCCGGGACCAACTCACTTCCAAATGGAGTCACATCAACTGTAAAGTCCGAAAGTTTATCAAAGTTTACGAGGAATGCGCCTGGTCCCGGAGGAGCGGGACGAACGACACTAACGTTCTCCGGCTTGCCACGACCCAGTATCAAGATGACGGGCACCAAGGCAAGGTGCCTATCGATCTTTGGAGGATTTTGAGCCGTTCCCCGAAGTGGCAACAACTCAACAATCCCGACGGCGAACCGTCAAAGAAAAGATCCTCTGTCAACACCGAGGTTGTGGTCGACGACACTATCAATTCGTCTGAACAAATGCTTCTCTTCAACATTGTGAATATCGATCTTTGGAGGATTTTGAGCCGTTCCCCGAAGTGGCAACAACTCAACAATCCCGACGGCGAACCGTCAAAGAAAAGATCCTCTGTCAACGCCGAGGTTGTGGTCGACGACACTATCAATTCGTCTGAACAAATGCTTCTCTTCAACATTGTGAATTCCAATGACAAGGACCCCATTCCACGGCCAATCGAAAGAAAGAAGGCAAAATTCATTGTCTCAGGTTCTGGAGGGTTCGGCGATGTTTCCATTTCTTCTCGCAACGATATCAGTCGGGCAATGAGTGAACAACTTCAGGCGTTCAATATTCGAGAAAAAGAGAGGATGAAGCGAAAGGAGCAAGAGGACGAGATCAAAATCAGGGAAACCAACCTTTCTACGTTATCAAGTTTCAAACGGATGATCTACGAGCAAAGACAAAAAGAAATCAAGGCAAAATATAATTTACCTTAGTTTTTTTATTAATGTATCTTTTTTATTATTGTTGCTTTCTTTTTTTTAATTTGATGAATGTAATTTTTTTAAATTTTAAATTATTGTCGTTTCAATTTCCTTAAATTTAATGAATGTATTTTTTTATTATTCGTATTTCAATATAATTAAATAATAAATTAATTACATTTTATTAATTTAGTTTTAGAATATGCATAGTTAAAAATGTAAAAAATGAAGGTTATTAATTTAGTTTTAGAATATGCATAGTTAAAAATGTAAAAAATGAAGGTTTGAAGCCTCATTTGAAGCCCCGGGGCCTCAAACCCATTTCCACTGAATCTATGAGTTAAGTTAAAACTGACGTGGCAGAGAGAGAAATTTTGAAGTCCCGGTTTGAAGCCCCGGGGCTTCACGAGTATTTCCAGTGCTCTAATATAAGGGTAGAATGGAAAAACAACATTAAAATTACACATTATTTATATTTTACCCCTTTTCGTAGAGAACAAGTTCTATGAGACTAGAGGGAGTTATACTTTTGCTACTCATTCTCATTATTTTTCTTGAACTTCTTAAAAAAATTAATTTGCATGCCACGGACGCATGCGTAAAAATAGTGGAAAAGAATTAGTATTTTTATTAATCTTAACTAAATGAAAGATTAACATAAATAGTCAACAGTTATCTCAATCCCGAAAGAAACATAAGCACTTATCATACATTACAATAATGTAATGGCTGGAAAATAATATTAAAATTACACCTTATTTAAAAAATCAGAGGAAAAGTTTACCATGGGGAGGGAGTAATATTTTTGTGACTCATACTCATTATTATTTCTTGAACTTAAATCATTTAATTTGCATGCAATTAACTCATTCATAAAAAAAATAGTGGAAAAAGAATTAGAAAATTAAAAATGGAAATATTGAAAATTAAATTTATTTAACATTTTGATATTTTATATTGACTTTATAATTGTACCTAACATATGTTTTTGAGACAAGTGAAATACAGAGTATTTTATATTAAATTTGTGATATGACTTTTAACTTTTTCATTTTATTTTAATAACTGTTTACCCCCCTGCTCCCTCAGGCTTTAGCCCCTAGCCCATGCCGGCTCTCGAGGCCAGACCTCCTACCCTCCATTAGGGGTGTTCATCGGGTCAAACCCAGACCGGACTGAGATCAAATAAAAAAAGTTTCACCGAGGACCAGACTGAATAACATAAAGATCGGCCCGGAACCAAACGGAATAAATATAATTTTTTTATTTTCTTTCATTATTTTATATTTTTATTTAATACGGAGTATAATGTGTTTTATCCGTTTTATAGGAAACTTTTTTGTAATTTTTGTTTTGCATAGAGAGCATATATTCTTCTTCTTTTTGTATTTTTACTTTATTCGTAATGTTCTTTTTTGTGTTCAGATTATTTAGATAAATAGATATTTTTATACTGTTTTTGTTTGAAAAATTTTTTTAATGCTAATTTCAAATTATTAGAGTTTCATTCTTAATAAAGTACAAACATAAGTTATAGTATTGATTACATAAATTTAAAATACATTAAATGCTAACATAAAAATATTGTTTATTTTTTTCCGCACTTCCCAAATTATAAGATCAGGTGCGTCAAACATTTAATGCAGTGGCGTTAACACCTGATAACGTGCATGGGGGCGGTATATTATTTTACGCCCCTATGACATTAACATGGGGATAAAGCAGAAGGGCATGTATTTCCTATTCGTATCATCACTCCTTTCTACTCTAGCATGGAGTACATAAAACTATTTAAGTATTAAAATTCACCCAAATAAATAATCATCAAAATAAATATCTAGAAAAATTTTAGTTTTTAATTAAAAAAGAATTCATTATAATCCATATTTGTGATATGTTAGAAATTTGGATATATATTATTTTTGTATATTCAATATTTATCATATATAAATACATTTTTATGTTTTTAAAAGAAACTGAAATATTGAAAAAAAAAACTTTAAAAAATTAAAAAAAAATTTGAAAATTATTATTTTTCAAACCCAAAAAGAAAAGCATTGGATGGGAGTAGGGTTGTAAACGAACCGAATCGAACCGAATATTCATGAAAAATATTCATATCCGTTAAGATGGAGTACGTGATATTCGAATTCGAATTCGGTTCGAATATTTTTTTAAGATTCGTATTCGGTTCGTTTAAAATTATTCAATTCATTTAGATTTTAAAATATTTTATAACCATTTGATATATATATATATATATATATATATTCTCTTTATTAATAAATTTCTTTCTTAAAATATATATATATATATATACTAATATTTAAATAAAATAGATTGAAAAAACTTGGGATTTTTCTTCGTTTTGCGAACCGGGAAGATCATTATAGGACAGAAGGAGTATGAATTACGGAGTATGCATTTTTTATCCCCCACCAATTTTCAAATATACGGAGTAAAAAGGAATCCGCCCGTAAAACGAGCGAAAGCGACCAACTACTCTGGATACGCTGTCAGTAATCATGTGGTTGTACTTTGTCCTTCGTACATTGGACTTGTTGCAGTTACTATTCCCTCCTTAGTCGGTGGTCCCACTAAAAAGTTTACAATAAACTTTCGGTTTAAATATATTTTTCTTCGAGTTAAAATAAGTAATTTTTACTTTTGGTCTTTGTTAAAAATTGTTCACTAATCATTACAAAAAAAATTATAATGATTTTTAAACATAATTTGTAGTTTAATTTGTTGAGATATCACATTTAATTCAAATCAAATATCTATCTCCACTACAATTCTCATGTCCTAAATTGTCTTCTTGTTCATACTATATCTCCAATCTCAAAATATTTTGGAAATATGAAACGGAGTATAACATAATCTAAAAATTGGAAAATATAATTTTATGAACAACAAGATCAATTGTATGAAAATTATGTGAGAGACCATTAAAATTACAAGATTAAGATGTTGAGTAGAAAATAATGTATCATGTCAACAAATAAGAAGCTCTAAGTTCAAAGATTATTTTCAAAATACTTTTTTCTAAGAGTGCCCTAACAAAAAAAATTAAAGGACTAAAACTAAAAATCATGTAGTTTACATAGAGGCTGTTTGGCAGTGTGTTGCTTTTAATCATTTAGCTTCTACTTTGAGTATAAGTGATTTTACTCTGTTTGGCATATCCTGCTTTTCACCACCATTATTTTGTACATAGAACACCGTTTCGGAGAAGCTGGTAGGAGGTGCTTCTGCTTTCAGCTTTTATGAAAATCATTTTATCCATAAGTTAATCACTCCCAAACAGCCTCTTAGACTTAGAGCCCTAAACTTTACCATACTTTTCATTTTCAATTCAATTAATATAAAAATAAAAACTAATATGGATATAATAAAAAATACTTCCTCCGTTTTTTAAAACACTTCCTCTTTCATTTTTTTTCACTTTCAACAAAACACTTCCACTTTCTATTAAAAAACCATTTTTACCCTTACTTTTTCATACCCTACCTATCACATCATATTTTATCTCTAATAATCTATCCATCACATCTTACTTTTACCTATCATATCAAGGGCTAAATTGGAAGTCAACTACTCCCTCCGTCCCTAAATATTCACAACATTTGCTTTTTCAGCAGTCGCGGGAACTTTTGTTTATTTCGACGTTTTCATTGGTTATTTGATAAAATAAAATATTCTTGACACCTCTTATTTCGAAGAACTTCTCATGTAGTTTTTTTATATGTAAATTTTATTTTTTATTTTTATACTAATATGTAAATAAAATGAATTGAAAAAACTTGATATTTTGCCTCGGGAATACAAATTTGGCAAATAATTTGGGACGGAGGGAGTACAATTTAACACTTCCTTATTTTTACACAAAGTCAAAATAGGAACACTTTTTTCAAACGGAGGGAGTACAACTTTACTCTGTATATTCCCTATCCATAAATCCTTTTCCTAGTTTGACACTCGTAGTCAAACTACTTAAATTCTGGTCTTAATTTACAAGTTTACATGGTCAAACTTTTCAAGTTTACATGGTCAAACTTTAACTATATTTTTATTTAGTTTCATTAATTATTTCATAAAATAATAGTCTTATCACCTCTAATTTTATTTTAGCTTTTTTCATATAACTTTTAAATTTATAAATTTTAATTTTTTATTCCATGCAAATTGTTAACTAAAATGAATTTGAGTTACTTTAGTCAACCCTCGTAAGTAATAGGGGGTTTAAATAGGCACACCGAGAGTACATATTACATTTTTAAAAAATTACATCAAAAATTCTACTTGCTCCCCGTTATAATTTAAATCACATGTTTCCGTTTACGATGTTTAAATAAATCTATTTTCATAAAATTTAAAAATAAAATAAATATTAAAAGACAACATCTAAAGCTCAATAAAACAAGAGTTGACATGATCATATTATTTAATCAAATGAATAAAAAATAAAATGAATAAAATTTAACCTTGTAAATACTCCCTCCGCCCCAATTTTTATTACAATTTTATTTTCTCTCTTTTTGATAACTTTTGTTTGGATATTTTTATTGACCACATGATAAAATATATTATTCTTTTTACTTCTTATTTTGTACAACTTTTGATATAATTTTTTAATATAATTTTTATTTCATATTGATGTATAAATTTGTAAATAAAATGATTTTAAAAGTCGTGAAATTTTACGTTGCAATTCTCATTTTATAATCAAAAATACAGACGCATGGAGTAATAAACAACTTGATTTGGGATGGATGGAATACTCAAATAATAAGGGTGTAAATCATTTTGGAACTGATGGAGTAGATATTATATAAAGAGATTTTAATTGTCAAAATTTTGATTAGAAAGAAATTTATGCAATTCCGATTCTAATCTCAAGCTTCATCGGTGCCGCTATCAACAACAATGAAGAAATACCCAGATGGAGGTAGGGGTGTAAACGAATCGAATCGAAGCGAATACCGATATATTTGAATTTGTATTTGTTTAATTTTTTCGAATCCGAATCCGAATCCAAATATGAGACGAATTCAAAATAAGATTTGAATAAGTATTTGATTAATATTCGAATAGTTATCGAATCATAAACGAATATTTGAATAATCATACTACGTACTAGGTAATTTATATGATGGACCAACATCGATTTGTAATTTAACTTACGATACTCCTTATACTATACTATATTCTGTATATAAAAACATTAATACATTTGCATCTTACACAAATTATATTTTATAAAATATAACTATTAAAAACCATATGTTTTAGATTTTCGTGTTACGTTAATTTATTGAATTCTTAGTATTTTCAATACACTATATTACTTTGCTTGACTTTTGATGTTGAAAACATGGTCTGTGTATATATACATATATTCGTATATTCGAATATCATCCGAATCGAATATATCCTTATTTGTATTTGTATTTGATTAATATTCGAATCAAAAATAATATTTGAATTTGAATTTGTATTTGAATAACGCGAATTCGAATCATCATATTTGAATACGAATCACGAATCGAATTTAAAATATTTGATTTGTTTACATCCCTAGATGGAGGGAGTAAATAAATAACTAAACGTTTTTATATCAATTACTAGATAAAAATAGATATAAAAAAGTATAAAAAAGTTTTGACAGCGTCAATAGTAATTCTAAACTTTTAAATGGGTAGGAAGGAGTATATTGGAGCCTCGAAAGTTGCATTGACTAAATACTACTCCCTCTGTCCACAAATAAACTTTACGTTTACTATTCATAGGGTCAAACTTTATTCACTTTGTTAGCCTATTTTCATCACCCATTTGATAAAATAATATAGTCATGTCACCTCTAGTTTTGTAGATCTTTTGATATAGTTTTTTAATATGTAATTTTTATTTTTCAATTCTACACCATTTTTCATATAAAATGATTTGAAAATAACTTCGGTCAAACATCGTAATGCGTAATGTAAAGTTTATTTGTGGACGGAGGGAGTACTCCGGTGCTTCACAATTGTAAGGGCATAAACAGTTTAAAGAGTCAATATACTTTATTTCATCATACTCAAGGGAATAGAAAAGTATTTACAAATTGGAATAAAATGATAAGAAATAAAATTCACTTTAAAAAATAAATAAATAATGATACTCCGTATAAATAAGAGAAAATAAAAATATTTTATTTTGTTAAATGACCAATTAATACATGTAAACAAACAAAAGTTATCAAGATAGTAATAATAACTACATAATTCATTAGGGACGAAAGAAGTGGGCAAGTAGTTAAAATTATTTATAAGAAAAAATAAATATTTTAGACTACATACTTGAAAAATATATTTTTAAAGTAAAGGAAGTGTACTTTGGGACAAAGGAAGTGTCTATTTTGATCAATGGGAGAAAATAAGAAGTGTATATTTGTAATTGACTTTCGAATTGTGTGATTGATGTGGCAAGTAAAACTAAGACATCATGAGTAATTATTAGTTAAAAGGTAGGGTGTGTTAAATAGGATGAGAATTGATAGGGGTAAAAGTGATGTTTTGATAAAATGTGAAAGTATTTTCGTGAAATAGAAAACAATAAAAGAGAAAATATTTTCGAAAACAGAAAGAATATAAAAAAAATTATATCATTGAGTCGTTGCACATATATATAAATCAAATATAATGTTAAAAAAATGTAACTAGACAAATATTCTACTCCGTAAAATGAATAGAAAATAAAAAATGAGGAGGCGTTTGGTTCGTCTTGAGGAAAGGGAAAGAAAATGGGAAAGGGAATCAGGAGGAAAGAAAATAATTACCTTTGAATTACCCTGCCTGTTTGGTTGAGGAAAAAAACCGGAGCGGAGTGGAGGAATTCGAGGGGGAGGAAACGGAGCTGGAAAGGGGAGGAACTTACCTGGACTGCAGTGCAGATGAGTCGTGGTGTGGCGGCGAGACGCGATGGGGCGGCGGCAAGACGCGGTAGGGTGGCGGCCGGAAGAAACGGACGTGCTGCCTAGGAAGAAAGTGATGAAAGAGAGGTGCAGATTGGGAAAAAATGGGCGGGGAATCGGAGGAGGCGAAAAGGGGTAATCCAAAACTGAAGAATGAAGAAAGGGAATGAAATTTTTTAAACAAACGATAACAAACTGGGAATCTCATTCCATCTCCCGTCTCCCTTACCCTCGAACCAAATGCCCCCTGAATGTTACAAGAACAATTTTGTAGAATTTGCTTATCTCATAGAGCGTATCCTTTGACTCATTGTTTGCAAATTCGTTTGACAAAACATCGGTTTTGGGAGTTTTCCCCGGAAAAACTCATTGTTTGCACACGCCTCACAACAGGAGCCGGGGTCTGCAACTATGCCCAGGTCAAGTTTTACTTCTTCCCAGATTTGTGTAGAAATTCTGATTTGGGTCAATATTTTGGATAAAAATTTGATGATACAACTAAAAATTGAAAATATTGGTGTGTTCTGTGACCAAAAGAGATAAAAGTTTTGATATCTCTAAAAATCAACTCTTTTTTTTGTGTTTGTTCAAGTCGAAAGAGACTCCTGTTTGATAACTCTAAATATCATAAATCTCATAAATTAAGGATTTGACATCCCAAATTCAAGAGATCTCAATGTGTGAATTTGATATGTATCCCAAATGCTGACCATACTCTGTCACTTTATCATTGTCAATGACAACAACTTCCGTTGCCATTCACTCATGACTATCACTAATTAAATCACGGACCCTCATATCATTTATCTTGATTTCGAAACCTATATATTATCAAACCATCAAAAATCAGCAAATTAACGGGCCCTAAAGGCTAGCGTTAATCTTTAGAGAGTGTTTTAAAAAAAAAAAAACTAATTTTAAACCCTAACATCAACATTGTTGACAAACATTACTTTTATTGGGAAATTTTTAGAGGTTATATCTAATGGTTGATTATGCAATGTTTCCGTTGAGAAGGATTATATAAGGGCGGTTTAAACCTTGAATTGATAAAATAAACAAACAAAAATACAATTTAGCATAAGATTCAATACCCGAGTAATTGTTAATTGATCTGAAACGCATACGTACCCACGGGTTACATCGGCGAACTGCTCCAGGCAGACAATCATATCGACCAAATCCACCTTCTCCTTACTACGGCGGAGTCTTCTCTTCCCTCTCTTTGATGTGCCGCTAGGTTATAGGGTAGCACAGAACTACACCGTGTCTCACTTTAATGTCAGAAGGCTCAGATCTCAATCTAACTTGTAATTATATACGGAGTACTTTCCTGTCGTCCAAAGAGAGGAGGAAAAAAAAAAGGAATATGATAGGGTATATCACCCATTTCTTTACCATTCATTTTATTTTTCTTTAATTTTTTATTTTTTATTTTTTGAATTTTTCTTGCTTTTATTTGTGCTGGGGTGGGAATGTTTGGAGTACACTTTTAGTGTACCCTTAGCATTTTTCAAAAAAAAAACTCCCTCCGTCCTATAATGTTCTTCCCGGTTATTTTACGAGGTTTGACCGACTTTATTTTCAATTCAATTTATTTAATTATAGGTATAAAATTTAAAATTAAAATTTACTCCCTTCGTCCATAAATATTTGCCATATTTGTATTTCCGAGGCAAAATATCAAGTTTTTTCAATTTATTTTATTTACACATTGGTATAGAAATACTACCTCCGTCCCAGAGTATTTGTCCACTTTCATTTTTACACACCATCCAATACACTTCTTTAATCCTTTTTATCTTGTAATTTGTATATTAAAAAATTATAGAAATTATATATTAATAATCTATATGTTAAGACAAATCAAACAAGATCACACCTGACTATATTTAGGCTTACACATTGAGAGAATTTGATGAGTGAAAGTGCTTAGATGAACAGTTCCAAAAGTCAAAACTGGACGAATACTCCGGGACGGAGGGAGTACAAAATAAAATTTACATATCAAAAAACTACATGAAAAGTTCTTCGAAATAAGATGTGTCAAAAATATTTTATTTTATTAAAAAACCAATGAAAACGTAGAAATAAACAAAAGTTCTCGTGACTGCTGAAAAAGCTAATGTTGCAAATACTTTGGGACGGAAGGAGTATATATTTAAAAACTACATCAAAAAATATATAAAACAAGTGGTGATAAGACTATTATATTTAAAAAATTATTATTATTATTATTATTATTATTACTATTATTATTATTATTATTAGTAATATTATTATTATTATTATTATTATTATTATTATTAAAATTGAAAAAGAATAAACTTTAGAAACAAGTCAAATTGAAAACAAAGAATGTAATCCTTAATTATTAGACGTCGGAAAAATTATTTTTAAAATACATTGATAATGTCAATCTAATTCCACTTTTAAATACATTTTTAATACTATTTGTAATTTGAGTTTCTAAATTTTTGATCTTTTACTACATCGAGTTGATCAACTTTAATCATTACTTAAATAAAATTAACATTTGATATTCATATACAAAGTATATTTTAGTATAACTATTATATCTCTAGTGTTATATTAATAATATAAAATGTTTCGTATGGTAGTACAAAGCACACATTGATATATTATAAGGATGAGATATGTTAATAAAAATATTATCTCTTTTCTATATTGATAATATAAATTTAATTACTTTTTAATGTATATATGAACTAAATATTTATTTTAATGTATATATGAACTAATTATTAAAATATTAAATTAATATTCTTATTTCATAAAAAACATAATCATAAAATAAAAAATATTATTACATTATAATATGAATGATTATTCTAATATATGAATTAACTACTTTTATGTTATTAAAACATAATCATAAAATAAAAAATAGTGATTATATTATAGTATGAATTATCATTACAATTTTCAAACGTTATTATAAAGCCAAATCAAATTATTGATTTGAATTTTAAATCAAATCATATTTAATCAGATCTGATCAGATCCAATTAGATTATATCAAATCAAATCAGATCAGATCAGATTTAATCACTTGATATCAGACCAGATCAGATCAAAACTACAAAAAATCATATGAGATTAGGAAATTTAAGTTGAACGGAACCGAGCTTAAGTCGCTTTCATATATTTTTCGATTTTGGATAATTTCAGATGCAGTGTGTATATCAATCAATACAGATCAATATCTATTTCAGATATATTTTATTTAGATATATTTCAATTTCACATTTACCTTGCATGTATGTCATTTTCAAATTAAAATTTAATTATCCGATTTCTTTTCTTTTTCATAAAGAGGGGTTATTTGGATTATAGTATGTTATTTTGGTCCTTTATAACAAAAAGTTTTCCTATTTAGTTATCTGATGAGAACCAAGCCCATCGAGAGAATACCAACGAATTGGGCCTAGGCCCAATCTAGATCCCGTCCATCAAAAGGAGAACCCGGTCCACAGAAAAATATATTGGGCCGGTCAAGGAAAGTTGCCCGTGAGGAAACATAGGGAAAGAAAAACGATTGGGACTTAAGGATGGGATGAACCCCAGCCCATTAGGAACAAGTCACCCCAAAGGAAGGAATCCTATGGAAGAGATTATGTGTCACGACCCGGACCGCAATCCACTGTCGTGCCAACCGCCGTACAACCCGTTTAAGAATAGCTGCAGTCTACTCTTAATCGAATTATACAAGGCATTAGTAATCATAGCACTGAGTACATCCATAAGTAATTATCAAAACGATAGATTTAAAATTTCAGAGTTTAGCGGAAATACAAGTTTTAACCCAAGAAGGTAAAACATAAGATTGAGCGCGCAGGCTCCAAATGAATTGGTTCAAAATCATGAGCATAGTCTAGCATGGAAAATCTCCATTTCCTCGGATCAAAATAGACTTTAGTCCTTTGGTTGCTTCAAACAATATCCAGCAAATCTGCAATCTAAAAAAAATGTTTTGGGGAGGGGTCAGTACAACGCCACATCGTGTACTGGTGAGGAGCCACAAATTCAGACTATTATATTTTATCACATAATCACAAGGGTCCAAAAAAATACATAGTTATTACTTTCAAAGTCAAGATAATAAATTATCCCATAGTTACGTCATTATATTTCAAAATCTATTTTCAACCTAATACCATAGGCCTGAAAGTTTCAAAGCAATTTAAAATGAAGATTTAATTCTTCAGTCATCAAAACTGATATCTCGTTCATGAGAACAACTATTTCAAAGAAATGACTTTCGAAATCTTTCCTCTTCTTTTCGTTTATCGAGTAACTGATATCTCATTCTCGAGGATAACTGTTTCAAAGGAGACAGATTTAGAAATCTTCTTCTTTTCCTTTTTAAATCGTACAATCTGATGGGGAGCCCCTCTTTTGTGCTCAAGCTAACTGATCAGGTTATCTTGGAACACCCGCCGAGGTGTCTAAAAATATATACAATTTTATTCTCACACTATAGTAAAAATAATCCCGCAGGATTTATCCTTTGATTTAGAGAAAATTTCTCAAAAAAAGCCTTAGGGTTTTCATGGCTAAAGCCTAACCCTATCCCCAAAAACCTCGGCGTTAGGGCGTGCTAGTCTTAGTGGTGGCGCTAAGCCCTAACACTTGGGAGATACTCAAAAGTAGCTCCTCTTATTTGTGGGCTAGGAAGCAATCACGCATGACCCTTCCTACCCGTCCAATAATAGCCTCCGACACCCGGATCTATTATTATTATGCGTCCACTTAGGGAGGCACTATAAAACAATCTACGGCCGAGATTTATCCACCGATGGCTCTAAAGCCATATACCTAAGGGCCCAACTAATAATAGCATCTCAGTATAAAATACGAAGATCTATTATTATTCTGTGTCCAAAAAGAGACAATATATTCTATCCCGCAATTTAGTACCCGAAGGTTATAAAATCATTTTCTAGACCAAAATAATTTGTAATAATATTGAATCCACAAGAAAGTTGGCTATGATCAAAATGAGTGGCCCAAATTGCAAAGGCCCAAGTAATGCTTTGAGTAAACATGAGAATAAAAGTTGATGGTAAATTTGTAAACTCTAAATTGAAAATAGAAATATGCTCAATGCTTTTAATCCTAAAATTTTTACGGAGCAATAAGAATCTAATGGACTTCTCCGTTCTTTTTTTTTTCTTTCCGTGCGATGATATCGAAGAAAACAAGAGGGAGGGAGAGCAATTGGTGATCACCTTCGCCGATCGTCGACATAGTCCTCGTCGCCCGCCGCCAACCGTCGAGTTTTCTTCTTCGCCGGCGTTCTTTCTCCGAAATCAGGTATTACCGAAATCCCTTTCCTCAAATCCGATTCTATTTTATTTCATTCCCTTGTGCTAAATTCATTTGAGTCCTCATGTAGTTCCGACAGGATTTTTAATTCCTTCTAGGGTTGCTATTTCTAGATTTCACCTAATGTAAATTTCTGATAATGGGGTGTGAAAACCCTAGTTTATGCTCAATTCAACTGATTCTCGAAAATATATGTTTATATATTCCGTATATTGGGGTAGAGTTTGATTAAAATGCTCAATCAATTTCTTTGCTTTGAAACAAGGAATATATTCAACTTTGAATAATTAAGCAAATCATGTGTAAGATTAAAGTGTTCATCATTCCTACTTTGAAATTTGAGAAATCGATTTGGGTAGAATTCCCAAGCTGTAAAATCAACTTTAATCTCTCGTTTCCAAAAATTAAATTTTAACGTCAAAGCCTTATAGTATTACAACAATATAGAGTAAAAATCTATTCTTTGAGAGAGTAAAGTAAACTTTTAAAATTTTGTAATAGTCAATATGAGTTTGGTGTATGCTCAGAACCAAATTTCACAAACAGAGACATTAGAGGGCTATTTCTTCAACTTTGGTAATAACTTAGCGTAGTAGGAATTCATATCTAAAAAGATGGATTTAAAAATGCTCCTTAAAAATCAACTTCTACAGAAGTAATAAAAATTGGGGTTTCAACGAAATTTTAAGAAACATCTCTAGCCTTTGAAAAAAAACACTTTTCAAATAGAGTGTGATAAAATGTATCATTTGTTATAAAATCTCATTTATCCATGGGTGTAGTGTTATATTAATTTTAGAAATAGTTTTAAAATCAATTCAACTACTTATGATTATAGGCTAAAATGTAATATTAAGAATTTATAACCCACTCACCTGATAGTACTTTGATGACCATTGGAAGGTTTAGTAATCTTTTGCGATGGAGGTGTTCCTTCGTTGACAGTTCCCGGTCAGGAGCCCCCTTCACTTTCTCAAGAATATTTGTACGTTCTGCCTAGTAGCAATTCTGACTTATAACTATTGATTTTCTTAAGATGTAGTTGGTTATGTTTGAGATGGAATGAGTTCACCATGGTATGTATGAGCTAGAGTTGTTAATGGCTATTTGAGCTACTTGATCCCTTGCGATCTGATAACCATTATTGACTTATATACTGCAAAATATTTCTACTCCCCTTTACGTAGAAAACATGAGTCACTACTTCATAAAAGCTCTCACCTTCTTGCAGGAAATTTGTGATGGTAGTGAGCTAGGGGCCCTCTCATTAAGTGAAGGAAATGACATGGCATAGTGAGCATAATGTGGTAGATGGCCTTGCAGGGATTTTTGTGGAGGTAGAAAGCTAAGGTCCCTCACCATTAATGAAGAAAGGGACACAAATTCACTAAGGTGTTTATTTTTCTTTTGCAGGAAGCATGTGAAGGGAATATGTTTTGGATCTACTTTTTAAATGGAGTGAAGACTTGGCTAAATTGTGCAGGAGTTGTGTGGAGAGCAAAAGATATGGCCTGCNCCCCCCCCCCCCCCCCCTTAAATGAGATGATGACTATTCCTTATGATTTTTCTTTTCTTTGTACAACCTGCCCCTCCTTTTATTTGTGAATTTGGCAGTGGCTTTCTTCAATACACACCTCGACAATGTAAATTGTATAGTGATGTTTTTTTTTTTTTTGAAAATCCATTACACTCCCTCACAGCTCAAAGTTATTTCCATTATAAACTTCTAACTTTGTCAACAGGTTTTATACCAGTATACCAAGTGGGTCATTATAAAATAATGAGTCATTTGTGCACTCCTTTGCAAAAAGAATACTTCACGTTTCCAATTCTACTCTTGAACCAAAAGTCTCCATGTTCTTTTGTAAATATTTATTCGAAATAAAATACATTAACGGTATGCTTCTTAGAATTGTCACACTATCCCAATCGTATACATTTTTAAAATCAATTTAAAGGTTTAATACGCAAGTTTTGCAAATCAAATATTGCTCTTAGTTTAAAAATACTTTAAATTAACTTCACATATATATACTTTGAAGTTCTAAAAGTACGAGTATGCAATAAAAATAAGTTCATACTTACTTTTCAAAAATATACACCAAAGTTATATTTTCTTCTTTTTTTTTCCACATTGGAAAATCTTTTTATATAGCTATATGTATATATTTTTTTTAACATGTAGTAAAATGTTTGTAATAGTAAATTCTTCCTTCAAAAAAATTTACTCCATTTTTTTTTATAAGAATATTTTATTAATACTGATACGGTATTACATTATGGTAGGCCGCCCCTCAACAAGAGGGACAAGGACGAGGAGAAAGGGACAGACGAAGGACAGGGGATAAGAGATGGATGGACAGGTTTGTCCTCCAGTGGACGGCTTCAAGCTAAGATACATCCCTCTTGGAGAAAGCAAGGCTGGCATGAATATTCTCCCCAACCACGGCGAATATTTGAAGGAGATAGTGGATGGGGATCACCTATAAAAGAGAGACGGACTAAGAGAGGAGGGATCATCTTGTCATAGAGAGAGAATATACTTGAGTAATAATAAAAGATATTCTGGCTATCCTTGAGTATATTCCGATCCTAAGTGGACCAAATAGAGGAAAGGACTGCCGGTTTGAGTTCTTATTCTGTGAGCAGTACTTCTGTTATAACTAATTACTATTCTCGTATTATCTTTCAATATTATAAGGTCTAGATACCTATATTTGGACCTGGGCCGATCTACCGTCCTCGGGAAAATATTGGGTATCCATCACTAGCGCCATCTGTGGGACCAATTAAAGCTTCCTAGCCTTCTGGAAAGTTGATAGCGAGCCTATCTCACTCCTGTTCACTTGGGAAGGCCTCTCCCTAGATTTGGGAAGAATCAGTTGTCCACTCTAGGTGAAGGAGATAAGTTCGCGGTCCATCTAGAGGGACTCCTGGTATGTTTCGGTCCATCTTAACTTAAACAAAAAAAAAGAAAAAGAAAGGAGGACCGATCGAACCTCCACAAAGGACCACTTTCATAAGTCGGTCACCCAGAAGGATCGATTCCTTGCTCAAGGACCGCTATCCTATATCGGTCCCCCTTTTCCACCAAAGAAGGTTTCCAAGTATCATCATGGGCAAAAATCGGTCTAGAAGAAATAGAATCGCTGCTAAAGTGCAAAACAACTCGGAAGGGAGAGAAAAGCTTTTGTCTCAGGATCTTAGACATCAAATTCTCTCTCAATCCAGGCATGAAACATAAGACAAATCTTGTGAGAAGAGTTTGCACTCTAAAGCCCCTTAGAGTTCTCATCCAAAAGATTCTCAGGAAGCAACAATAAGATTCGACGCCAAATCCCCCATAGTCCGAAAATTAATCGGATGGCTCAACAAGGAATGAGAGGCCTGGTCCCAAGGGACCGGGAGGGGAACGAGTCAAGGAGAATGGGACGAGGTGGAGAGCCAAGGACGCATATCAGTGCACAAGAGTGTAGGACCTCAGGCGCTACCAACTCTTCTAAAACCAATTGGTGTTAGAAGAGACGCATACCCTAGCCTTATAGTGCATTCAACACACAAGCGCCCACGACATTCGACTGTGACTTGGCCCACATAGCCTCCGCCACGGGACAATTGCTGCACACATGGCCAACAATCTCCCCCTCAGCAATTGCTCCCGCTGGGAATCGAACTCGTGACCTTGGCTCTGATACCACTTGTAGGACCTCAGGCGCTACCAACTCTT